TAAATTTTCCGGGCTTTTCTATTTTTCATAAAGTGCATAGAAAAAATGGGCAATTATTAAATTTTCCGGGCTTTTCTATTTTTCATAAAGTGCATAGAAAAAATGGGCAATTATTGTTTTGACATCAATATAGAGGAGATCTATTTTGAGTACTATTTCAGCAAAAATGATTCTTAATAAATGATGTTTCTGTGAAATATCCACAGCTTCAGTGGTGGTGTGGAATTACGAAATGGAATATTAAATTTAAACGTTGATATTGAATGGAATTTTTATCGAGCGAGAAATAAATAATAATAATAACAGTGAATGAAATGGAAAATTGTCTGAATAATTTTTGAAAATTTTTTTCTTTCGGACAGAAATAAATGCAATGGAAAAAATAACATTGCACTTATTTCCACTCAAACATTAGATGGTACTTGCAGTAAAGCACAATACTTTAATCAAAATGCACTGCTTTAATGGGAAACTTTCTCTCTCTCTCCTTCTTTCTTCCTCACTCTCTTAATATTTTGAAGGTGCGGAGATTTTGCTTATGTTTTTAGTAGCGAACAGCATATGTATAAAAATTCGAAATCAAATTAAGAGACTATATATTTCTTTTGACATAATGATGATCATTCGGAACTTTACAACGTTATCATTCATTTTGGAAACTTTTCTACTTCATTTGTCAAACTTGCTAGTTTAAAAAAAAAACTAATCATGATTTTTGCCTCATTTTTTCAAGACGAAACTTTCTAATACATATAATTTCTAAATGACTGATAATCGAAATTGATCAATGGTGATAATCAGTAGTGAAAGAAGGCAGAATCTCACTATAGTGAATGAGTTAATGCAGATATCCGTATTGATACTTATGAAAATTTTCGCTAAAGCATTTGAAAAAATGGCTAACATCCGGTCCTTTTCCAAAAATCGATCGTTTTATAAAAAGGGCAAAAGAATATTCAGCATCCTTTTGGAATATGAAATGTGTTATATTTTATACCTATTCATTTTTAAACCAATTAAGTTCATAAAATTGCACTTCCACATTCTTCATTCCACTTTTTTTTGTTTTTTTTTTTTATTATTCAAAAACTTATTCGCATGCAATTCGATATTTACAAACTGTTACCAATTTAAGCTTGAAAATGTGAATAAATTTTTGAATAAAAGAAATTTAAGCGTGGAAAGAAACTTAGCTTAGTCATATTTTCATACCCGAAAGCTTAGTAATCAAATTTTATGTAAGGCTTGTATTATAGGCCTCATAAAAAATCCCCTCATTTCATTCATGAATTTGAAATTTGACATTATGCATATAAGTAGTTTTAAATTATTTGTAATCAAAAGAGAGAATATTCGGTTCTTAATTATCAATGACAGTTCATTTTTCAAGAAAGAACCTCTGATCTCATAACAAATCGAACATTCTTTTGTTGGTTCATTCGAAATGCATCTGAGAAGAGATTTTTTGAAGAAACTTGAAAATATTCAAACAATCAGATCTGATTCTATGGATAATTTGAAATATTCGTCTTCAATTTAAGTTAACTAATTCACTTTAAGGATTTCATCTTCAATTTTAATTTAAAGCTAAATAACTTTGCTAAATCTTCTGATGAAAATGCTAAGATTTTCTCGTCGTTTCTCATATTGTTAAATAAATACCCAAATACCTTGTTCCAATAATTCAAAAGATTATCATATTATTTCATAAAATTATAAATTTTTTAAAATTATTGTAAGAATATAATTTCTTTTTGGCAATAAATTGGGAAAAGGATTGCTCGATTTATTGATCTTGAAGTCATCGTTTATCTACCATTTACAGTATTTTGGAAGAATTTATCGGCTATCTGGTTTGTTTGTATTTTTGATGATAATTATAAATTGCGCTTACTTTTCCTATTATTGTTCAGTAAAAGATACGGAAAATGAAATTTTCTTCGAAGATTTTCCGGATAATCCAATAAAATTTATTGACAGATAAATTCATCGTTAATCACAAAAGAAATGGGTGAACTTTTTCTTCGTTCTTTCTTTTGTTAGTGATGGTTGAATCAGTAAATTCTTAATTGTAATTTTAAGGGGATGAATTATGTATGCTAACTTTCATTATCAATGGCAAGAAACTTTGTTATAAGAGTGACTTTTGAGAGAAAAAGATGAAACTTAAGATATATGGTTTTTCACGAGAGTTGACAGCTTTTATCAATCTTTTTATCTTTTTTTGCAAGATAATTTGTAGAGGGAATAAGTTGTGCTTTTTCCTTCTACTTTTAAAATGTAATTATTATTTTTTTAAGAAGAAAAAAACAGAATTGTAAACAATACATTGTTGGCGTTACAGAGGTAAGGCGGAAAATGCTAGGAAAAGATTTTAAAGAAAGAATTATGCGCAGAAACCATTTATTTTTATCTTGATTCTATTCTCATTCTTATTTCCCGTAACAAATTACAGCCAATGGACACTCCCGCCTTAAACATCAATATATTTTCTAATTATCCAGAACAGTCGGTGGATTTGAACTATCGCGGAATGCGAATAAAAGTGTACAAGAACGGTGATCAGTATGATACAGGAACAGTAGTGGTCATTTGTCGGAAAAGATTTAAACACTGGCTTACTTTTTTAGACTTCCTTACTAAAAAATTAGGTTTAATGGCTCCTGTTCATGAATTCTATCGAACGGATGGTATTCGCATACGACATGTTTGTTTTACATAATAAAATTAAAAATTAATTTAGGATAAAAAACACTTTTAAGTAAAAATTTAAACTTTTTGACAGATAAATTTGAAGTAAGTTGTGGCAAAATTACTTTAGCATAACAGTTATTGAGCTTACTAGTTATTAGCAATTTGAGTCATAATACTATTTGGGAACCAAATCATTAAGCAAATTAGCAGTTCCTACAATTTTTTCTAAACTTCAGGATTACAAATTGTAATTGTTTATTTAAATGCTCCAATTTATTAATAACATCATCTCATTTCATCATAACTTTCGATTAATAAATTCAGTGAAGACATTTGTTTTCTGTTTTATAGTTCGAAGAAATTGAAAATGGAGAATCATATGTAGCCGTATCACAAGGACCATTTCTTCATAAACCATATGGCTTATTATCTGAAGATCGTGAAGTATGCTTTGTTTTTTTTAAATCTATACTTTTTATTATGACGATTGTAAAAAGAGTTAATAAAATACATTTTCAAATCCTCGACCACTTCAAGTAAAATAGAAAATTTGAGTGATTGATTTTTCTCACTATTACAGAAATGGAATATGAATCCAAAATTTGAATCGCCAGGACAGAGCACACTTGATTCCGCTGAATCCGTGGATATTTACTTAAAACAGCGTGGTTACACTTCTCGAACTGGCCTTCCATTTCCATTTGATGGTGGTGTATGTGTGAATCATTCATTAATGGAACTTGGACGTAATCGTGCTCCTTCCTCCAATCAACCCATTCGTCAACATCGTAATGAGCCCGTAAGTTGATGAATTCTTCAAAGCTAATCGAAAATGAGAAATATTTGATAAGTATTACTTTTGAGAATAATGTGAAGTTTACTAAGATATTGTTAAACCGAAATAGAAATTTAAAATCAGCTGTATTTACATATGTTTTTACACTGAAAATGTTTGACTGGTTCTAATATGATGTAAGGCATCACTGGTTCTAAAAATTTGTCAAAAGTTGGAGAATTGAATTGAGCAACAGACGTCACTCATGTCCAAAATGTTTTTTTGGTCAAATGGAGTGCTAAAATTCTAGGCTTGGTTCGAAGACTGGCTTGAAGATATGAGAATCTGATACAGCAAGAAACACGGAAACCAAATTAGAATTAATTTGATATATTGCATAAATAGTTCTCGCTAAATTGTCAAATTTTGATATTTTGATAATCATTTTAAAATCCTTAAAAGATAGACTCAAAATATTACTCTTTCTCGATCACCGTCATTTGTCATTTTTAATTCATAATATTTGAAAATACAAGAATGACAATAAAGGGTTTATTTTAACTATTAAATGAGATAATTATTACTCTAGTTTTTCTCTTCCGCATAGCACTCTCGCCTCATTTCAAGCCATACAATTTATCTTTTAAGCTTCATGTTCGTAAAAATGATATCAGTGATGCCGATCATGACATTGTCTTTCCTCCCTTGTCCTTTCCGAGAAGGATTTTTTATTTCTTGTCAAATGAGCACTTTGTGCTCGGTAAACATCTTTTTATTTTGGTAATTTCAATATTTTTTTGAATCAAGAAGGAGTAAAAGAAATTACAAGTTCTTTCTCTTCCAATTAAAATATATCTTCATAAAAAATTAAATCGATATCACTAACAAATTCAGATGATCAATTTTGAAAAATTTCTTAAAAAATGTTTCAAAATTCAGAAACCACAAGAAAATAATTCGAAAAGTGGTGAATTATTGGAGAAAAACGACACAAAGCTGGAGAGTCCAAGAGAAGAACTGGAAAATTTCAATTCACAATCAATATCGCATGCGAATTCAGATTTTACAATCTGTAACACGAATCCTCCAACATCTGTTGCTGAACCCGAAAGTGAAACATGCACGGAACTGAAGCTAAACAATGAAGTTGAAACAATGAATGATCAAAATATTGGACAAAATGATGAAATTTTGCAAAACTCCTCAATGATTGAAGTTGCAAATGCAAGTGCAACCAAAGTTGGAGAAAATGATTCGTGTAATGAAATTGCTACCCAAAACAATTGTAAGCCTACTGTAAAGGAATATGATGAGAGTGTACTAGCACCAGTTGTTCAAATTCCAGATAGTTCCCGGGAATCTCCAATTACACAAGATGCTAAAAATACTGAATCATTAGGTATGATGCAAATGAGCAATCCAAATTACTGTTCATCACCAGTGAAAAATCCTGAAACTGTTATCACTATAGTAAATGATGATGCATTTATAAGTACAAGTAATAGTTCAATCATCATTGTTAATATTTCTACAGGACAAAAGAAAAATAATAATATCTACAACAATGACAATAAAATTACTGATGGCGCAGAGATTACTCCATCATTGGTTAATAAGGACAAAGGTGTTGAAGTATCATCAGAGAATTCAGAAGCTAAAATGGCATTACTTTCGGATGGAACCCGAACTATAGATCGAATGCACGATACAATAATTGAAACAAAAACACCAATGGCTATACGTATTAGTAATGCTTTGTCAGCTGCAACGACTACTGATCGATTATCAGTCATACCTATCAGTACCGATGATCAAAGAGCGAAGACGGTATTGCTGAAAAAGAATGAAAATGACGAAGAAGATGCTAAAAGTTTCAAAAGAAATTCCAAAGAATACTCTGATAACTTGTTAATAAGAAAAAATTCTAAAGGAAATGAAAATAACTTGGCTAACAAATTTGAAGAATCTCAGATGGAGCAGAATTTAGCGATAAAATCAAGAGAAAATCGAGAGCCAAAGATAAATTTTGAAGTAAAACAGGGTGACAAGCAAGACTGTGACACTTCGAAAAATAATGCTAAATTGAATGAAGTTTCCAAGAATCTAAATAAATCAACACCATTACCTATGCAACGAAGTGAATTTAAAGAGAATTCTGATAATTCTGGCCATGATAAAGATGACAAAAAGGAATCAAGGCGTACAAGCATTGCTTGTGGACATGAATATGCAAGTAAAAATGAAACACAGACGACTTGTGCAGTATCAAATTCAGGCAAAGTTCAAGAATCTTTAACAACTGATAAGAACTCACATAATAGAAAACGTGTTACTTTAGTAACACCTTCGGTTGCTGAGTTGAATTTGGAAAGAAAGTCAGGAAAAGCAGAGACTTCGTCAAATTCAGAAGGACAGCTAAAATCTTCTTTAGAACAGTTAGCAGTTGATATGAACAGTGCTAATATTTCACTCACAACTGCGACATCTGCTATCACAACTACTGCTATCACTAACACTACTACTAGCAGTACCATGAATGATATTACTCAAAGTACCGCTGCTTCTAAAGATGTAATCATGCATACCACAACTGGAAGAGAAAAAGGAAATCCCAAATATCAGTCAGAAGACGGAATGAGTTTTGAAGCGGACTTTACGCCAAGAAATGGTCGTATGCAAAGGAATCACATCCGTATGAAAAGTTTTCAAAAAATTAAAATTGACTTGGATTTGAATATGGATACTTGTCGATTACCGGCGCAAGATAGTTACGATCCTGACTTTAAAGACTACGATTTTGTACAATGAAGCAAAAATTTCTAATCTTAAATCATATTTGAAGAAAAATGTTTTCATACTTATTATGTTATTCATACTTATTTTTTCCATACTTATTATGTTAGCACACCGTTGAAAAAAAATTATCACAAGCTTTGTCTAACTCTCAGAAGTGAGGTAAAATTTAATTTAATTTATTGTATTATGTTGTGCATCATTTCATATGGTTACTAAATATTCATGTACACGTCTCACTGTAATTTAATAATCCAATCGCATTTCTTCAACATTTATTTAAAGTTCCCAACATAGCATAAAATGTGATGCATCAAAACGTGAATGAGAAAATGTCGGAGAAAAAAAATTTTAAATATTTGAAGGTAATGAAAATTTTATTCAATCATTGAATCAATTCCTGATATTCAGATTGGAATAGAATATGAATTCAAAAAATTTCAGTTATTTCATAAGATACTGTAATGCACCTTCATCTGCGTTAATTCTGAAGGGTCAGCCTCTATTTCAATCCCATATCATAGGTCAAGATCTCATTAACTGTTTATCTCTCCATATTTATCACATAATGCTTTCATCTTCTCAAAATTAAGGCTACGTTAAAATTTCTTCATATGCAAAATAAATAAAATAAAAACTTGTTATGATATTTATCAGTTCATCTAACAAGGAGAGTTTGTTAAAACCAAAAGTACTTGAAATACGAATATTGAAATACTTGAATCATATTGATGTTGCTTTTGCTTATCGATGATTTCCCAATTTTAACCATCGACAATCACTTACTTAAACACTGTAGTCATTGCAATTCCAATAATTAGACCATCGGTGAAGCGATTAATTTCCACAATCAGTGCAACTACCAAAAATAGAACCAAGAAAGAACTTATTAACAACTTCTAGTGTCTTATTATCAGAAGCATTGTAAAGTATTAGTAGCACTATTTATCTCTCAATAAATCTTTTAAGCTATCATCTCGTAAAAAAGAATCCAGACATTATTCACCTGCTTCAGAATCATTCAGTTTTTATGAAGTCTTACTCTCTCAGTCCATCACATAGGATATCTAATCATTTCACATTATCAGACGCAGCTTAGTATAACTTGATAATTTCAAAACATAGTGCAGGTTAACGAACGTTTTATTGAAATTTTAAAACAAGAACGTAAGCATCTTTTTCAATCAATATTTCCCATTCATTTACAACTTTTGGTTGAACAAAATGTTTGGTAAAATGTATGATTTCTTTCATCTTTATTATAAGCAGTAATGTTTTCTGTTAGCATTTTATTAAACAACAATGTATTCATCTCACTTATGATTTTTTTTGGGGATCAATAAACACCTTTTGCAGATTAACGACAAAAAATTTTAATTGATAATATTAAAGATTATTTTCCAATAGATTAAAAGTACGTTTGCATTTACACTGCAAAACTCATCCAAGTACTTTGATCAGCGCTATCCATTATTGATATTGTTAAATCATAAATTTGCAAAATTAACAAAAAAAATTTTTTTTTCACGCGTTGTCCACATAAAGTATGATAAGAGCAAGTGAATTTTAATGATTACGCATTGAGATTGATCATAAAGTGTTAACTTTTCATTTTAATTTTTGAGACACATATGATTGCTTTAGGAGGATTTTTTGTTTTTGGAGAGATGAAGAGATAAATTTCATCATAATAGCACATATGCCGTTTGTTCATATGTCGGGATAGCAGTTATGTGCATTTCATTAAGGATGCTTATCATTCATGTATATGTATATGTATATGACATTCCAAAAATTGATAATCTCATATTTTTAGTTCATCAGAGACATTAAAGCAAATAAATTTTTAATTGACTCCACAAATAGCAAGTAAGCTAGAAGTAGTAATGTATCTTCAAAACCTGATGTATTTTTTCATTTGGATATGATTCTATTTGAGTGTTGATGTGCACACTTCAATGTACCCATCGCTTTTCTTTCCTTGATCCAAGCTGGCAAAAAGGTACTGATCATTTCAAGGAGCATCATTCGCAAACAATTTGTATATTAAGTTTTGAAAGTAAGGTGAATGGACCAAATGCTTGAATAAGTAAAACTATAATGATAATTAAACTTCGATTTCGTTCTCAAAACGTTTACTGTAAAAAAACGATTTTTCTAAAGTCTTTCTCTGTCATCATTTATTAAAATGACGAAGATGCAACGAATTGCAAACAATATTATAAAATTTAATCGTTCCTTTTCTAAATAAATCGCAATGCAAAAATTAGAAAAACTTACGGGGCTTTCAAGAAGTTCAACAGTTCCATTAAAGCCTCTGTCGTTGCACCAGGAACTCTGGAAGTTACTTACAATCAAAAAAGAAAATTTAACATAACAAATTACTTCTCATCAAATACGGAAGAAATTCAGCATAAAATGTTTTAAAACCTGGATGCTGCAGCAAGATTTTGAGGCCTCCAAAACTCCAACTTTTCTTTGCATTCAGCAGAAAGAGATTTCATTTTTGAATAATCAAAATCATCCGGAATAACAGTAGCACATTCCTTACGTATTCGTTCTATCTAAAAATTGCAACTATGATACATTCAACCTAACAAATAGAAACAAAACAATACAAGTCACTAAATTAACAAAAGAATCCTTTTGGAACTGAGTAAACAAAGGGATTTTCACACATTAATAATAAAACGGGAAATGGCTTTTGTCGGATCTGAGCACTTTGATCACTGCCTAACCAACAATTACTCATCAGCTGCACAATGATCGACATCCGTCACTCTTTTTTTATGTCGTAATATAATTTACCTTTGCCAACGATTTATCCAAATAAAAATGATAAAATGCTTCAATCTTCAACCGATGTTCTATTTCATCATTTTCCAATAACTTTTTTAGCTCAACAGGAGCTGCTTTCCGAATTTCCATGAAGTCTATTTGATAACGACATAACAAATCAAATGCACTGTGTACTGCAAAAAAAAAAATCAAAAGCAGCAATAAACATATGCATTGGAAATTTGCAAATTAAACTGTATGTCATTACTTGAAATGACATGAAGACTTAAACACCTGTGATTACATTTCTTCATGAAAATGCTACTGCTACTTTTCCCTCGTAATTTATATTGACATTCTGTTTCTAACCTTTTGGTGTTCGAGCATTTTCTAAACGAGGTATACATTTTTTCCAAAAATTCATCGGATATCTGACAGATTTTAGCAGATCCTGCGTTTCATTATAAGCAGACAGCATTTTTAAGAAGTGATTATACCGATGCTCGGACACAGCTCCGTGTTGGTAACCTTTCTTCGTTAACCTCATATCTGCATTATCTGGTCTAGAACTTGCAATTTCGTAAGAATTTGATTAAAATGTCCAAATTTAGAGGAATTCTCATTTCTAAAATTAAAATGATTATGGAACAACATAAATCTTTTCTGAACTGCATTATTTAGTAATTTGGTTAAACAGAGAAATTAGCCAGAACAGTAAAATATTACCGCAAATGTAGCCTGAGTTCAGCCCTGGAAGTAAACATTCTATACGGTTCCGAAGTGCCAAGACTGGTCAAATCATCAATTAATACACCAATGTAACCTTCCGTCCTATCGATAACAAATGGTTTTTTATTTTGACTTGACGCTGCAGCATTTATTCCAGCTACAATGCCTGAAATAAATATTAATGGATTAAGGTAGCTATCATAAATGACAGGTAATTTTTAAACAGAACAATCTTCTAATAAAAGTCACCGAATCTTGCTCTGCAAAAAAAAAAAAAATATTCAGTAGCCTCAACAACATCATCAAACTTTTGCGGATCTGGAATATGGAATTCCAAACTTTTCTTCCATCAGAAATCTGTCAGAAAATAATTCCTGATGTCATGACAATTTTTAACGTTCAGGACTGTTATAAAACTTGAAAGACAAAGAATGAAAAAAAAAGTGGTGAAAAAATGAAATACAAGACAAAAAAATAATTAAACGAACCCTGTGCTGCAGCTTCTTCATATCCCGTAGTACCATTAATTTGTCCTGCGAGAAATAAACCTTCCACAATCTTAGTTTGCAAAGTTGACTTAAGTTGTTTTGGATCAACATAATCATATTCAACGCCATAGCCAGCCTCTGATATTTCGACATTTTCTAAACCTGGCATGCAACGATACACTTCGAGCTGCACTTCCGGTGCAAACGTCATTGACATACCTTGCGGATAAATTAAGTCAGAATCTAAGCCTTCATGTTCCAAAAAAACCTGAAAAGTTTTTATTCAAACGTTAATTCATAAATTGAAAATGAAAATTTTCTATATCAAGAATTAAAGTATTTGATCTTTGTTTGTTTCTATTCACATTTTCTGCTTAATATTCCAGTACTTTCATTTTTACAAATTATAGATAGATACCAGAGATATTTTTGTTTGAGAATCTCTCCTGCTTGCTACTATTCAATATATGTTTATTCCCTTTAGATATTATGCGCTTTTACAAATTAAACTGAACCATCATTCTTATTTCACATAAATCTCTCAAGTCAAATATTAAAAAATATGAAAATTAACCCTGTGATTAAGATGAGGGAAACGGATAACTTTTGATTCAAGAGAGGGACAATAACGTGGGCCATTTGCTTCACTACGAATATAATTGCATTCGTTGAAATTTTTAAGTATCACTTCGGCAAGGCGATTGTTTGTAAAACCCAAATATGACGGTAGCTAAATATTGCATTACTTTAATTTATAAAAACAAAACTAAGCATGACAACAAAAATACGAAGTGATAAAATAAAAATATTGCCAAATTTTTGTTTTGGAAACGAGCTTGAAATGAAAATGAAAAGCTAAGCATAGGAAAATAGAAATTTCAGAAAAATCCTAGGAAAATAATAAAGGAAAACGATTAGCAGGCTAACTTGTTGATGGTAAGGAATCCAGATATGCTCCGTCAAGAATGAAAATGGAACCGGTTTCCGATCTGGATGTTGAGGAAGAAATTTGCTAAAATCTATTGTTTTTTTAAATAAACGTGCTGGAGTACCTGTGCGAAAACGTCCGAGCTTGAAGCCAAGTTTCTTAAAGGTTTCAGAAAGTTTTGAACTAGCCTGAAAAACAGTTTAATGACTTCATTGACTCGTGTTTTCAACATTAGTTGCCGAAACATTGCGCTAAAGACTGTGAAAACAACAAAAAGTGAAATTTTTTACATTCTTTCGCTTGAAATATATTAGAGAAATATCGGTCCTTAGTTAATGCCACAAAAGTTTCAAACATCTCAAGTGATCAAGGTCTCAGTCCCAATTAATTTTCATTATTTATCCCATTCCATTTTTACCCATTTTTTATACAGTTATAGTTTACAAAATAATGGGGATTTCAAGACCATAATATAATTTTGTAAAAATTATAAAGTATAATTCACCTTTTCACCGAGACGCCCGGCAGCATAACTTTCCGATCCTCTAAAAAGTTTTCCGTTTAAAAACGTTCCCGTTGTCACCACAAGCGCCTTTGTTCTTAGAATCTGAAATTTAAAAGTCGTGAAAAACATTTGGAGAAAATATAAAGCAACCATTTTTTTGATTTCACTAGAGCCGATGTAAGATATAATAATGTCCTAAGGAAAGTTGGCACAATTTTACCTGCCCATCAGTTACAACTCCAACAACTCGAGGTATTTCTCCTTCCTTGTATTTGATAATCAGATCATCAACAGCTTTCTCCATTACATCCAAACCTTCTGTACAGTTTAAGATTTCCTAAAAGACTGATTCTATCAGATTTGGATAATATTAATAAAGAATTTTGTTTAGAAAAACAGAATATAGTTAAAATTGCAATACCCTATTTTTTCTCAAAAAATTGCTAACCTATTAATGTTTGAAATTCATCTCATACTAAAACTACAATTTATCAAAGTTACAAGGAAAAAAATATTACATGTTGCATATGTTTCTTATACAGTTTCCTGTCAATCTGTGCTCGAAGGCCCAGCACAGCTGGCCCATGTGAAGAATTCAGTGCGTGATAGTTTATGGCTGATTTATCACAAATCCTTCCACATAATCCATCCAGTGCGTCCACTTCGCGTACAAGATGTCCTTATAATGAATGAAAATTTTTACAGCTACCTACAGATCATTATCAATTTTCTCGAATTCCGCTTTTCAACTATTTCTACTTAATCTTAATATGAACTAAAATTCTTGAGTTTCTATGAACTATATGAGTCAACCATATTTGCCGTTACTTTACACGATAATTTTTCAACAGAATCAAAAACTCAGTATCGAGACAACGACGATTACCTTTGCCGACTCCACCGAAACTTGGGTTGCATGACATTTCACCGATTGTATCCTTTCTGCTGGTCAATAATAATGTATGAGCGGAACACCTTGCAGCGGCAGCGGCAGCTTCGCAACCAGCATGTCCACCACCAATTACAATAACATCATATATTACCGACCCGCTTCCACCTTTCAATGTAGATAATGTTCTTCGGAGCATATGTACCTCCAACAAAGCGACATGTTCTGCTTACTCTTATATATCATGCATGCCATTTGAGGATTATTTCGTCCAATCTACAGCATCTATGTAAAGATATCCATATATATTTTGAATATAAAAAGCCATTATACGAGACCACATTTTCTTAAAAGTTCTCCAGAAAAATCCATTCCGAATTCTTTTGATAGAACATAGGTTTAATTATTATTTAATTTCAACCAATGTACGACTACCAATCAAAGTTAATATATGATAGAGAAATATTTTATACACAACTATGATATTCACAGATAGATAATATCCATATGTTAGAGAAGGAAATCGTGGTTTAGCTATAAAACGACAAAAGGTGAACGATCATTTTACTTCATAAGCTGCCATGAAATAAAGTCAGCAAACCAGTAAATAATTAACGAAATACGAAATTTAAAACATCCTCAAAATGTTAAAGCTAATCGAATATGAAAAAATTCGATAAAAACATAAAAATTTGAACAAATTCTATCACAAAGGCAGTAGTCGTTCATGTGATGTAGTAATAAAACAGTGACAATATGAAAAATAAATAAGGAATAGATTAAACAACTGATTACAATTTTGCAATTCTGACGTATCAGAAAACCATGAAGTGATTTATCTGACACGTCAAAATTGCAGAATTAAAAAAAAATTTTCAAAAAAAAGAAAAAAATATGGCAGTCAAGAAACAAAGAAGCATTCTCACCAAAAAACTAGCTGATAATGATGCAGCACAAAAATAGTGAAATGAAATAAAAGAGCTATCATTGAGGCTCGAAACTGAATTTCGAGGCAACTCAAGCAGATTCCCATATAATTTATTTAATTTTACAAACTAATTTTTACATGCGACAATTTTTACAAACTTTTTCCAAAATCAAAGAAGTATTTTACGGATTAAGGAAGGATACAGCGATATATCGAGTTCCACTGGTAATTGGAAGGCCTTCATGCAGATGAGTCAACCGTCCTGGAAACATAGCTGCATACCCTAAAATAAAAAAAGACTGAGAATGAGATCTAAATTCTAAAAATACTATCGAATGAAAAATACTGCATTATAGTCGTAAGAAAATTGGTCTGCCAAATTAAGGCAATAATAAAACCGCAGTTACTTTAGAAATATAAAAAAGATTACCAGTCTGATCAACGGAGATTGTGCAGTTATAACGAACATAACGAATACCACCACCTTCGTAATCTCTACCACGCTTGTTCAAAGAAATGTCCACAGTATATGTTGAAGCATCCTGAAGAGCTTGCAATGAAGATTGCTCACCTTGCTTGTATCGGACAACAAACATCATTACTGCATCCACTGGCTGTAATAGCTTGGAAGTCTCTTTTACCGTTTGCATAAATCAACTCCATTTTTACAATACCAAACACATACAGAAAATTTACTAATCTTACCATCAGAAATGCACAATTATTGAGAACACAATATGTGTCACTTGTCCGCATAGTATGCTTAGATCAAGAGATAACTCATTGAAGCAATACTACACTCTTCACTTTTTAACATAGCTCTATGTCAGTTAGGATACATTGAGGTTACAATTTTTTTCACAGAAATAATTATCTAATACTTATAAACCAATAAGATTTTCAAAAAAAAATACTATATTCAAGAACAGATGTGTTATGAATAAAAAATACCTTTTGATAATATCCAATAAAAAGTTTTTCTTGCATTGGGCGAACATATTCATCAAGAAAGTACAACCA